CAATGCCGTAGCAAAAAATGAAAATCAAATAAAAAAGAACCAAGCAGAGCACAGAAATGCTTTCATGACCCTCTTTTCCACACTGCTAACACTTGCAGTGGTTTGGCAGAGAAAACTCCCGAAAAGCTGAGATTTCCTGAATGTGACAGCTCCTGCACACCCGCTACGATCTGCCATGGCACCCAGGTACCCCACCGTACCCCCCTCCCACCAACACCTGGTTGAGCTAAGCAGCAGGGAGGCAGAGGTGGGGGGCAGAGGGGGCACTAGCATTTCCTTGCCTTCCCCCCTCAGAAGTCTTAAGGGATTGGTCCTGCTGCTGATTTATCAGCAGGGATCTTGGTTTTCTCGGATTTAAAAAAAATCCCTATTTTTTGGTTACAAAAGTAACCCTAAAATCCACATTTTTCCATGATTTAAATGAATCACGCATCAAATAAATCATTTTTCCATGATTTGAAATGAAACACCACTACATACATGAGTGGTGTTTCATTTAAATCACAGAAAAATGTGGATTTGGGGATTACTTTCGTTAACCAAAGATTGGAGATTTTTTTTTTAAATCAGAGAAAACCAGGATCCCTGCTTATCATGACCCAAAGAGGGACTTAGCAAGAACCTACAACAAGCCTTGTCAAAATCCCACCTCTATGCTGTGACACAGGGGAAAAAAACCCCCTAAATTTCCATCGACAGGCAAAGATTCCCATTTTGAAGTTTCACTCTGTAAGGAAAGAGGTTTTTCTCCCAGCCAAAAAAACTGTGTGGTCAGCAGTATTTGACCACAGCAGAAGTGAGGGAAGAAAAGAAATATTTAATTTCTGAAATATGAACTTTCAGCTGATTGGATTCCCCTACGTAAAAATCACTCCCCCTCCATTCTGTGTTTCACAAGAAACTGAAAAAGAATTGGATTCACTCCGCCGTAGTAAATACCGTCTTTATTTTAAGTGACGGTTAAGGAACTGCTTGCCCAATTTACTTTGGTCCACACCTATCCTCCTCATTGTGAAACAGTTATTTATGACTTTCGAGGTGGGATTTAATTCATAGGATCAAGATCCCGATAAATTAGTCAGAAATCTTGGTTACATCACGTGTACATGTTGACACAGCACAGCTACCGTGGAGCACCTGCGACCAGGCTGTATTTCAATGGAAGATAAAATGATCCTAGTACACAGCATTATTTCAAACCATGTCTTACAAACTGAGTAAAAAGTGACCTGCTGGAGTAAAATCTCTATGTCTCCAATTTATCACCTGCCTGGTTGGGACTAGGGTGTCAAGCTGCCTTTTAACACACTTAGTTCAACTAAGAATGGAAGTTCGTTTGTTCGGGGAATTAAAAGACATATTTATGCGGCTTGGAAAAGAAACCAAGCGAAGCATGAAAATGGTTTTAAAGGTATAAACAATTAAGGCTTTTGCTTAAAAACTGAAATAAATACTGCCAGGTCAAAATTGGACCAAAACACAAATGTCCAGAATAAGCTCCATAAAGTTTAAGATCAACAGAAATATCATACTTTGTTCTTGCCAAAAGATTAACATTCCTCGGCAGAGTTTGCAGGTGGAATGTTGCAGTTTTATGCTATCGCACAATAACCTAAATGAGCCATTGAAAAAAAGAGACGGACTAGCTTTTTTCAGCCCAAAGGGGAAAAATGCACAGACAGTGCAAAGTTAATTCTAAAAATTATGTATATGCAGAGTGAGAGAGAGAAAGAGAGAGGAGAGAGGTTTATTTACAAGCAAAATAAAGGACATTTTTAAAAAAAGTTTATCAGCTTAAAGAACTAGCCTTTTTAATGAACTGGAAATACTTTCTGAAACTCTACGTGTCAAGTCCCCCTGCCAACTTTAAAACAACAAAAGTGACTCTTCAGCCATTTCTCTCTGCTCTTCACTATATAGAAAACCCCAAGCTTGCATGTCCATGAATGTGTGTACACATGTCCAGACCAGTGATACCTACACCTGATACCGTTCGGTATGGCAACTAAACTTAAGGAGAGGGGAGAAACCTCTCCTAATTACAGAGCTATGGCAGTGCTAGGGCATTACTTATATACCCACATTTTAAACAAACTTCAATTGAAGTCTGCATGCCCTTTCAGCCTGCCAGCAATCCTTGTTTTAAGTCCAGGCAAACTTCTTTCAAGTTTTCCTGTTATATAACTAGGCGAGCACAATTCATCACCTTCTCAGTTTGAAGATGGCATAATATCTTCCCCCAGAAGCACGCAGGACTGCAAGATCTCACTGGAAACACACCTCAAACTCAAGATGTCGTGTATGCTGGCAAACCCCTATCACAAGAATGAATGACCAAAAGCTAGCTAAAATACCCCTTGTGTAGTCTGCCGTTTGGTTTTACGCAAGACAAAGATCCTAGTAAGTAAAGATATGACATATGCCACGCCGTAACCTTTCTGCCAGCTTTTTCTGCTGCTAAATACACTGTTCACTGTATGAAAACTGTATGCAAGTAAATAAGTCTTGCAAGATGTTGATCCAGGAAACAGTGGACTGAAATAAGTGTGCAATGACAGCAGCCACTGAAGAAAAGGTTGGTTAGGAGTTATACTTGGCTCTTGATACAATGGTGTCCAGAAATCAGAGCCAGAAACCAAGATAATATTGTCTTATGCTGAGCACATCTTATCCGGTGGTGACTGCAGAGATCAGGCAAACATGAAACCAAAAGATCCAGGTAATCCCTTAGAGCAGCAGGTTTCAGCATTGACAGGAGGACACTCACTTAGCTCAGCAATTATTTTCTTTGGCAGTTTGCACAAGCCGTGATCACTCAGGACTGCTGTCCTCCTTGACAGTGCATTCAGCACCCCTACCGCCTTACAGCCCTGGGTGATGCAACTGTATTTTATGTAAAGCCCAAAACTAAGACACCCTATTCTTTACCTATGTGTCACCACATACTTTTCAACAGAGATCCCGGGTTGTTATGGTTTATACTATGACTTTTACTGTACATGCAATTAGTAATCAAGACCAAACACCACACTCTAGCTATTCATGTTTTGGAAGGATAATGGTGAATAGCATTGATTGTGCTTTGGTTATTGTCATCAGGGTGCAACACATGCCACTTCGTTTCTAAAATGAGTTGTGTCATAAGAACAAGATTACTCACGTGTATTATGTTTCTATACGCAGGCAAACCGTTTATGTTACTATTATACATTTCATTGCAAAACACTGCAGTGGGAATGCAACCAACTCCAGAGTTCAGGGCACAGCACGCTGCATAGTTGCTGCTATTGTGCAAAGACACTGAGGGAAATTCCTTCCCTTACAAACAATGCCTTAGGTGGGAGCTTTAACATGCAAGCAAATGAAGAAGCTTTTCTCTTACATTTACCAAACGAGGTGGTATTGGGCTAATCTATCTTGAATGGATGAATGAAGGCCCAAATTAATGTGACATCTGAATACCTGGATTCCCTATACCCATGCATTTCCAACCTGGCACAGATCAAGCCGTTGCTCTGTAAGGATGGCAAGATAAACAACGGCATGCTTTTGTTAAGATTCCTCTAAAACCGAGGCACTGGCACAGTACAGCGTTTTGCACCTGGAAAGATACCACGTACTCAATACCATTTATTTTCAGTTGCAAAAATGTTACGCTCCCGTCTTCCCTGGAGCTCAAGTCATCTCTTGCCACGTTTGCTTTACAATGCATCTCCACATAATATTTAACTGAATCACACTACTTACTTCTACTACAAAGCCCAGCTTGAATGGATGTGACACACTATCCCTAGATACCTTAAAAAACAAACAAACACTATCCATGCTGAAGAGACAGATTGCTATCAAAATCCTGCTTGGAGAAACTGAAAGCTTGGGGATGCTCTCTGGTAAAGCCCAGATTATCAGAATGACAAATGCAACGGCTCCAAACAGTTTTGAGCAACCAAAGAAAATAGTTTGCTAGCACTTCCAAAAAGAAACCAACCATTCTGATTCCCACAGGGTACCACTCTCAAATCAAAGGAGGAGCAGCGACAACAGCTCCCTGAAAGCTTGTGGTCCAGAAACCCCAAGGGGACGGGAACTGGGAAGTGCCCTCAACACCAAGCTGCGGACCCAGCTCTTGTGCTGCCCCGCTATTTCCTTTATACAACGGGGAATGGCTTCAAGAGAAGATCCTGGGAAACCCCTCTTCCCCAAAGCAGCCAGCAGCCCAGCGGTTAGGGCATGTGCACGTGGACAGCACGAGATCAAGTCTCCGCAGAGAGTGTTTTGAACCACTCAGCCAGGGGATATGCAGCGATGGGATACAAGTGACGCCCAGGTTTCACGACTTCGCTCCCTGGGCCGTCCCTTGCAAACAGGGCCGCAAGGTGCAGGGCTGACGCACCTCTTGACACGCCAACTAAAAAACAAGCACGATTATGTCGGGAGCCCAACTTCGCACCATCACGCAGAAGCGCCTTGCCACCGATAACCCCCGTGCATTTTCCTGGGTTCACTGAGCCGGGCTTTTGTTTCAGGCAACGCAGAAACACGCCTGCGGCCTCACAACTGGCCGCCGAGCCCCACAGAGCTCTTCGCCCGCTCCTCTCCCCCGGCACTTTCTTTGCTTTCGCCCCGCGCGCTTCTTGACAAGAGGACGCTCTCAAAGCTCCCGATTATTTCCGTGCGTTTCTCTCGCCCCTTTGCTTTCTCAATGCAGCTGCGTCCCGAAGCAGCAAACGATGCCCCGCGGGCAGGTTTCAACCCCCCCCGCCCCCCAATCCGTGCTTCCTCTTTCCACCAGATTTTTTGGCCAAACCTCTGGGGGGCCCCCCAAGGGGCCGCTTGCTCTGGGGGTGGGGGGGCAGAGGACAGATGGACGAACGCGGTTGGGGCGGACAGAGTGACACGGGCACCCTTGGGGGGGCACAATGACACTCCTGAGGGGGACAGACTGACAGAGAGGGGGTGGGAGGACAGACAGGCACCCCGGAGGGGAGGGGGGGACTCACCGCGTCGGTTTTGGGGGCGGACGCGCACCGCCACCTTCACTTTGGAGTCGCCCATCGCCACCCGCTCCGCTCAACTCGCCGTGTCCCTCCTCCGTTTCCGTCCTACCCGGGAGGTGGGCGGCGCTTCGCGCTCCACGCGCCACAAAGGTCCCACCCCCGTCCCCGCCGTCGGGACTACACTCCCCAGCGCCGCCATGATGGGCGCACAGCCTGCTGGGAGCTGTAGTCCTTCCCCCTCCCCTAAAAGGGGTATGTGTGCATTGCATCCTGGGAGTTGTAGTCCCGCGGGCCTCCACTCGCTCCGCGTGGCGCGCGGCATGCCGGGAGTTGTAGTTCCGCGCCTCCCTTCAGAGGTGGCGCGTTCCCTCATGGGAGTTGTAGTCCCCTAACTTTTATTATTTTTTTAAAATCCCCAATTTTCGCTCCAAAAATAATAATCCGCAATCCACATTTTTTCCCGTGGTTGAAGTGCAACACCACTAATAGAGAGACATGTATATTGCAGTGTTTCATGTCAATCATGGGGAAAAAAATGTGGATTTGGGGGGTTACTTTTTTTTTTAACTATTTTTGGGGGGTTTGGGGGGTTTTTTTGTTTTTTAAATCAGAGAAAACCAGGATCCCTGTGATGCGTTGCCAGAGGCGGGGGGACCCCCAGGCAAGGGTCCCCTTCTCAGGCACGGGCACCCTTGCAGGCTCCGCCACCCACTCGCCACATGCCCTTGGGCAAGTCCCTGGACAGGTCAGCACCGAGGCAGGGAGCGATGAACTGCAGATGCCGGGATGAGACCTGATAACAAAGTAACCCCAAATCCACCTTTCCCCCCCCTGGATTTAAATGAAACACCACTAATAGAGAGATGTGTATATAGTGGTGCTTCATTAAAACCATGGAAAAATGTGGATTTGGGGTTACTTTCTTTTTTTTAACCCAAAAATTAGGGATTTATTTTTATTTTTAAACCAGGCAAAACCAGGATCCCTGATGATAAGGATCCTGTGTGGTTTTGGGAGGAGGGCAGTGCTGGCTGCTCAGAGCATCTGCATGAACCCCCATCCTGGATGAAACGAACCCGTTTCTTCCCCCTCCGTCGGTGCCAACCTGCAAAACCTGGAACAAAGCAGCGGACAATCACGCCTGTAAATGAGTTGGGTATCTGGGTTGTAGCCCTGTTCGTCTAAAGGAAAAGGCACTCGGGACTCGTAGTCGAGATGATGATATCTTTTATTAGACCAACAAGATTTTTGCAAAAAAACCCAATTGTTTAATTGCAAGCTTAGTTTCATAGTTTCATAGTTTCTAGGGTTGGAAGGGACCTGAGCAGATCATCTAGTCCGACCCCCTGCCATGGCAGGAAGAGCACTGGGGTCAAATGACCCCAGTAAGGTGGTCATCCAACCTCCTCTTAAAAACCCCCAGGGTGGGAGCCTGCACCACCTCACTTGGAAGCTGGTTCCAGACTCTAGCCGCCCTGACCGTGAAGTAGCGCCTCCT